CAAGTAGCTGGGACTACAGGCATTCACCACCACACCCGGCTAATTATTTTGATTTTTAGTAAACAAGGTCTCACTACGTTGCCCAGAATGGTCTTGAACTCCTGGGCTCAAGTGATCCTTCCACTTTGACCTCCCAAAATGTTGGGATTACGGGCATGAGCCACTACACCTGGCTGAATTATTTTTTAAAATCAAGGAAAGACCTATTTTAGTCAAACAATTGCATTAAGAGTTAGACTACATGTGTAGTTGTTCAACCAGGATATATTTGAGAATGAAAAGGTGTTATTAATAATTGCCTTGAATTACTAGGGGTGAATTGGGTGTCACCTCAGGCAAATTGGTACAGATGGTCCCCATAGAATTAGGTGTCTTTAGTATTGTTCGTGCATGAATTTAGAATTGCTTCAAATATAAAATATATAAAACTGGTAATTCTATAAGCATGCCTTTTTAAAATTGGAGGTTTAAATCCTTATGGTTAATTTACTAGTCTAGCTGGGTGTGGTGGCTCACACCTGTAATCCTAGCATTCTGGGAGACTGAGACAGGAGGATTGCTTGAGCCCAGGAGTTTAAGACCATCCTGGGCAAAAAAGTGAGACGCTGTCTTTATTTTATTATTATTTTTTGAGATGGTATTACAGGTGTGAGCCACTGCGCCCTGCCAACCCTGTCTCTGAAGAAAATTAAAAAATATAATTTACTAGTCTAATAGTCTGCTTCTAGAAAAAAAATTTAGAATTCTAGCTTGAAAAATTGTTTTTTCTCCTCTTTCCTGTTGCCTGTTAATCTGTCTATTCAGCAACTTCACAGTGCTTTTAGCCTTCTCCTCATAGCCATTCAATTACTATTATATTAATCATATACTGCCTATGGTACTTTTGTTGCTTTTTTTCTTTTTCTACTGTTAATTACCTCAGTCAGGAGCCTGTTGCTTTGCGTCTCAGATACTACACAGTACTCTCCCCTTCAGATACTATACAGTACTCTCTTCTTCTTACCTGCGGTCTCAGTTACCCATAGTTGACTGCAGTCTGAAAATAGGTGAGC